CTTGAGATAGTTGGTACATGGTCAATGGTGATGGTGAAACAGCTTGAACATGAAACGATTACACAAAGACCGGGCAAGACACACGCACGAAACTGCAATGATGGTGGGGAAACAGCTTGAATAATAAACGATTACACAGAGACAGAATATTAAACGATTACATAGAGACGAAACAATCACTCCATTTCGAAATGGCGCGCTGCAGTCGCGCTGACGTTAATGACTGCGTCGTAAACCATTCATAAAACAAAGTGTTAAATCAAATTTTGGGTCGTCGTATTCGCAGTGAGCTGCTTCGTGAGTCTCATGAGGAATGCTATCGCAATGGACCTTTCTGGAAACGCCAGCGCTACCATTGAGCGCTCCGGGGCATTATGGGAACTGTGAGGGTGTCGCGCCCGTTAAGCAAGCCAATTAAGTCTTGCCTAGTCGAGCTTCTGCATGCTAGGTGGCGCACGCTATCGCCCGAACTGCAGCATCAATGTTAATCCATTCATGCATCCAGGCGAGCTAATAACGGTCTTCGAACGTTGTTAAGACCAGGTGCGTTGTTTTGGTTTTCTTTTTTTTGTGTGTGTGTGTGTGTGAGTGCGCGCGCGCGCGCGCGTGTGCGTGTGCGTGTGTGTGTGTGTGTGTTTTCTGCGACGGAAACTAAATTTCACCAACTAGCTCCACTAACTCCTGCAGAAAAAAATACAAGAAGATCTATTAATGGCTTCCCGGGGATTGCGTTAGCATGACCCTTGGGAAACGCCACACACGTCCCCCTTTGGGACACGCTAACGCTGACCTCTTCACTCTTCTGTTCTGGCTTTCTCTTTTGGCTTTTTCATTTGCTTCCTTCATTTTTTGCTGCCTCTTTTGGCTTCCTTACGGGGTCAGTGTTAGCGTTTCCCAAAGGGGGACGCGTGTAGCGTTTCCCATGGGTCATGCTAACCCATGCCCTAACAATCCACCAATCGATGTTCCTTTAATTATTTTCACCCCTTTTCTGTACTCTACTTGTCAGAGTACGTCGACGCTCTTGGATGCGGTGATCAATGTCACTCGTGGAAGGAACCGATTCCATATCACTCGTAAAGGGAATCGTATCCACCTTCTTAACTACACACACACATCCCCACGCACCGCTGCGCAAACCCAGAGCGAAGAACATCGGGCGACGGCAGAGCGGAACTGAGCACGCCCGTATTCCACCGCGCCGCGGCGCTGCCTCCTCTGGCTCCGGGCTAGCTCTGCGACGCTCCTTTGACGAAAACGAAAACGCTCGTTTTGACAAAAAACCGGCGGTGTTTGTCAACACCGTGGAAAGAGGGGGAGGGAGAGGGTAACGCGTGCTAACGTCTGTGCTTGGGACCAATGGGAGCGTCGTATGCGTTACCCTCTCCCCCTACTTCTTTCTCTCTTCCCGGAGCTAACAAACTGGCAGACACCGGCGGGTATTCGTCAAAACGAGCGTTCTAATGTTAACGCATTGAAACAGGTTTGATGCGTGAGTGATATCTTGCTCTATTGGTGCGTCGACCACGCGCGATGGCCCATTCAAAAAAGAACGGTGACCCACCCACAACAATAACCCTACCAAAAAAGGGCAGTGGACAGACGTGCCGTGATTGGGGGTTTCCCACCTCATGTGGGCAATGCAACCGCAGCACAGGGTGCTGCAAAAATTGCCGTCTTCTGTACACAGGGAACCAACGCGAACGTAGGCTACCTCTCGCAGGCGCTACGGCCGTAGCAGCAGACGACAGAGGAGAGACCCTCATTATTCCCATAATGCCTCACGCGCGGCAGAAAGGTCCATTCATAGACAACCAACAATAGTGTATGCTGCAGCCAATATCCCAGAAAGTTGGTTATGTATGGACTCTAAGCCCAGTACTTGACGTCATCGCACCATAATGGTGCTCATTCCTACCTGCTCTTGACGAGAAAAAAAATGCAAAGGTGAAAAATGTATTTTGCACATGGGTCCGCGATAGCAACAAGGCAGTCATATTGGCCGCTGATGTGACGTCAATTTAAGTATTGTATACTCGGCTTTACATTTAGTGCACAACCAGTACAACACGGTCAAAACTGTTGGCTCGAGCGTGTGGCTTCATCTTGCGGTTCATTATCACGTGCTCTCAAGCAAATAAGGCATTAAGTGAAGTCACGTGCTCGCGCCAGCACATTGACAGCGTTGCACATTAAATGAAGCGGATTATAGTCAAATTGATGAACAAATAGCATCAACCAAGGCCATCCAACTTCAAGCACGTGCAGTACACAAGTGCTTGAGATTGATGCCTGAGGTCGGTGCATAAGCCTTTTCACAAGTCCATAGGCCACGGCGCGAATAGTTGAAGCGCGTTCGTTCCCATACGATGATGAAGAGTGATTTGAAGCGATTAACAAGACGTCGATCATTATATGCCAGTCTATCACTTATTCCTTTGATCTAAATATTCATCATTGTATGAGAGAAGCCCGCTCCGGCCACACGCTCAATGGGCAGTGGATAGATTTGTGATTATTCCGAGTTGTGTCCCCGGGTGTACGAGCGCTTACAAGAGCAACAAAGAAAACGGCACTCTTTTAAACCATGGACAGACGTCGAAAAAAATATCAAGCTTGGAACGTAGTCATACCGCTCACAGGCAAGCCCCTCTCGGCAAGTTACCATGTGTGTAATCACCACTTTAACAGTGGGAATATTCTGACAGTTTACAAGCACATAAAAAGCAATGACATTCTGGAATTACCGCGAAGATGGGAGCTTGTTTCATAAGTGATGTGAAAATTCCAAAACTACGGCTTTTCCTGTCTGCGCCCGCAATCAAGACAAGGTTGCAACTGCTACAGTCCTAGAACATCCATAAGGTTGAAAAGCGGCGCTGACAAAACACGGGGCGCCCGCGGCGCTCTCAGTGTCCTGCCAGCCACCCGTGGCGCTCGCATCACCCTCTGGGAGGAGCCAGAGTTGCGCGTCTGTTCTCCACGTGCCGCCGCGCCGCTATTCGCTGAGATCCGGTCACGTGAGGATACGCATCAAATGTCGTGCAGGAAAGTAGACGTTGCACGCGCCCCGACAGTACGTTCCCCTGCTTTTGAGTGCGAACGCGCGGCGCCGCTATTCGCCGAATTCAGTCACGTGAGGACCAGGATCAACATGCCGTGCAGGAAAGACGGCGCTACGGGGATGAACACGCAACTCTGGCTCCCGTAGGGAGCCTATACAGGAACTCTACCTCTGGCTAAAGCCCCTCTATCCTGGGAAAAGTGGCGCCATTCATTGTTGTAGAAATGCTCGAGGGACGTGCCGCGCAACACTTGGAAATTCTTGGCGTCTGAAATCTAGCTCTTCCCCCGATAAGTGGTATTCTCTTGACAGCCTTTGACGGTCAATACCGGTTCCCATTTAGTTACGCCGCCCAAATTAAACTTCCACCCGGTTTCGCTATGCCACCTCTTTTTGGTATAAAACTGTTGTGCCAAGTTACGATCATGTCAAAGTACCTGTGTGCCGAAAATCAGCACCTCGCACAACCAGGTTATTACACAATAGCTGACCGCAAAAGCTTTTGACGGCCAAACCGTGTGTTGGCCGGCAACTTTGTTTTCTCGGCTTTGGAACCACCTTTTGTAAGTTTTTTTTTTTTTTTTTTTTTTTAATTGCAAGTACAGTTTATTAGTCCCTTCCTACAAAGTCTCCACCTCCCACGACGAGTGGTATTCTCTTGACAGCCCTTTCACAGTAAAAACCGGTTCCCCTTCAGTTCGCCGCCCAAAACAAATTTCCACCTGGTTTCCCTATGCCACCTATTTTTGGTATTATAATTGTTGTGTCAAGTCACAGTCATCTCCAAGAACTTGTGTGTCCAAATCTGCCCTTCGCACAGCCCGGTTATAAGACATTTTGGATTCACTGTTGGATATCCCGTACAGCTTTATTCCTTTATTCGTTCCAAACATAACTTTCACACCTGTTGTCTTAATGAAACTTGGCACACTTAGTGCACAAACTTGGTGAACATCTCACTCGCCTCCAAATATCGTCGTCCAAGCAGTCCTACTGTTCTAGCGACGAGCGAAACAAATTTCCTACTTAGACAGTGGTGAACACACTTTTCTTTAGTGAACATTTCACTCGCCTCCAAATAGCATCGTCCCAGCAGTTCTACGTTTACCGCGACGAGCGAAACAAATGTCCCACTGAGAGCAATTATGGTGGCGGCCGTTATGCTTTTCGGAAAATTGCTCAAACCTCTTTTTAGACCGCAATTAAAGAAATTGCCCCTAATAACGGCTCAAACTCTTTATACAAGAAGCGGAGAACAGCTAGATTCCCTTCTTGAGTATGCCCCAACACTAATGCAACGTTACCCTCAACGTATCGGCTCCAAAAGCAAACGCTCCGTCCGTGCGCGCTTCCGCCGCCACAGCTTCGCATGCGAAAAGGCGCCGCAGGCTGCTGAACGCGCCTCACTGCCGAACGCCAGCTCCTCCACTAGCGGCGCTGCGCACGTCTTTCAAATCACCCCTTAGAGTTCCCGCACGCAGCGTATTGCCACCAGAGAAGCCATGGTTAGCCAGAAAGTTGAATCCATCTAAAAGAATGACTTTTTTCTGAGAACGCTCACTGCCGTTGCGAAAGATCGCGCTGTTTTCGACGCATTTAATGGTTGTAAAATCATAGGTCTAAACACAGAGCGTTTCAGAAGGTCAGAAGTTAATTCATATGTTCGTCTTAGCTGTCGTGTCTTAGCTATTTCATATTCTCGTCTTAGCTGTCGGGTCCTTAGTTGTTTCATATTCTCGTCTTAGCTGAAATGTCAGAACTAAAGTACATGTCCGTTGGAAAACATACGGACCATTGTTATGTATATCAAGAGTCCGAATTAAATAAAAAGGAAAGACGAACTTACATTTAGTGTCTTTTAAAGCTCAGCCTGCTGTAAACGAGTAGTCAAATCGCATTAACAGAAATTCGTGGCCTCGGCTAGATATCTTGACAAATGTCTAGCATAAAGCTCATCTTCCTACTTTCTCATATCTGCATCGTGTATGGAGGTAAGTTAAGCATGCATGTTTACATAGTCATAACAATAGACTTTGTGCAGTTTCGCGTCAATTGTCGAACGCGGCGCCAACCTCCCTCCATCGCCAATTTTTTAAGCTGATGTCTCAAAAAAATATCGAACAAACGTTCTGTCCAGCTATGCACTAAAAAGTAGAAAGTGACCTACCAGGAAAAAAAAATACAACCGCGTTGTTGCCTTCTTTTCAATCTGAATTTCTGACAGCCAACGTTGGATAACCGTACTGTTTTACTAGGACTTCCCAAGCTCGTGAAAAAGAAACCGTGCGAGCGCTACACGCCTTTACGAGATTCACTAGAAAAAATGTTGAGACAACTTTTCAAAGACATTATTCTTCATACTATTACATATTTTCTCTGCATTATCCCTGACACTGCACAGAACGACTCACCCCTATAACCCAATCCCGGGAGCATGCACTGGCGCCGCCAGGTGTTGTGTGCTGCACTTAAGTTATCTTGGTGGGCTGGGGCTGCATCTCCAGGGGTTTAAAAGTGCACAGTTTTTCTTTCATCATCAATAACAAGAATATGTTTTATGGTGTTAGGTCTGTGTTGAAGGGTGATTGACGCTCTTCGTCTTCGAGGAAGTTTAATCTCATGTTGACAGAATGGGCTAACTCATTGTTATGATGCAGAAAGATTTCTCTCAAGCCAGTTATCGGCCTCATCTTCTGGATTTTGGAGGGAACTCCTGGAAGGGAAAATATGGAATACCGTTGTTCAGTTACTGCGCTTAGGTTTTCATGAGAAACCCTGACCACGTGTTCAATGGTTGAGAAGAAGGTGGCCTACACTTTATTTCCAACACTTCTAGGCCTTGATCTTCAGAGGTGGAGACTCGCCATGAAAGAATCAAACTCCTAACGAAAGGTATTTTTTGAGATCATAATGGTAGATCCAGGTTTGTTTGCCCGTTAACATTTCAGGTACCCTCCTAAAGTTGCAACTTTGAAATTTGTGTTGCATTTCTTGACACCATTCTACCAGCGCCAGCTTTTCAGCTTCCGTCAAATTGTGTGTCACCCAGCGAGATTAAACCTTTATTACACGAAGGTGTTTGTGAAAAATCTTCAAAAAACTTGCCGAGCAAATCTTCCGGGTCCCCTCGATAGCATCTTCACTCAATCGAGGGTCCTTTCTAAAGAGACTTTCGAAAGCAGCGACATTCTTTTCAGTTACAGCTGCTGATGGTCTACCAGATCTCTCGTCGTCTATGAGAAAGGCGTGGCCACAATTAAATACACCGAACTATTGAAAAGCTGGTGCATATGTTACAGGGCAATGTCCCCAAAGGCATGTGACAAACATTCTAGTGATTCCGACCTTTTGAGCACTGTTGAAATCTTAAAGCATCATCTATTGTAAATCCTGTCACTCAACGTCCATAACGAAATACGAACGAAACAACGTGTCGCTATCTGTCCTAGTCCGCGGCTATCACTGGGCGGCGTTGTGATAGCCGACTGATAACAAGTTTTTCTAGGAAAAGATGAGGCTTCATGGGTGCCATAGTTATCGCCTGCCTCCACCTTCTTTTTTTTTTTTTTTTTTTTCTTCTCCTTGCCAGACTTGTACTGCGAGATACGTTACTTTTGTATAGTAAAGTTATCGCTATAACCGTATCATTGCCTGTTCATACTGCAACGTAACTTCAGCGAGAGTTGGCGAATACGCCCAAGCTTTTCTGCCTTGACTTGTGCAAAACGCGGTTGGTTTTGGCGAGCCTCGTTCCGCTTCGTTCTCTCATTCCGAAGGCCAGCTGCTTGGCTCCGTCGGCATCAGATGGCTCTACTTCCTCTGCGAGCTACTGAATTATATTATACTATTTTTGCCTGAGAATGCCATTACTGCCCAATTTTCAACTCACGGCAAGCATAGCCAAGTAGTAAAATGCCGACAAGTTTTTTTGTTGTTGTTTTTTTTTTTTTTTTGGGGGGGGGGGGGCGGAATATTAAGACTTTAAAGCTAAGGCAAAAACAATGGCGCTCTCTCACGTTACGATCTAGCCCCGTTAAACCCACGAGTCTCTAAGCATTGGGTATACCAAAGAAACAAATAGGTTCTCAAAGTTGTCACTTGTCCTGCGTTTGTCGTTTGCGCTTCCTCGCTTGCTAAGTAAGTGTTGTTGGGTTCAGTCTGAGCTTGCCAAGTGGGGAAGTTCCTGCATTCCCTTTTCGAGTTGGTGTCCCTTTGTGTTTCGGCCCTGTTTGCTTTTGTGTCCGTTTGTCGGTATATGTTCCCTACCGAAAAATCCGGTATAACTTTTCATTATCCGGATTATGGAACCGGAAATTTGTTTCTGGAAACCCGAAATCCAGATTGCAGACAAAGGAATAATTTATGAAAACCTAAAATCCAGTTAGAGTCCAGATAGAATCCAGATAAATTTCCGGTTCCCTAATCCGGATAACGAAAAGTTATACCGGATTTTTCGGTAGGGTTGAGGGCGAGGGTACCCTGTGATGTGGGCGAGGAGGTCTTGTGAATTGTGTTGGAGGTCGGTGACATGTATATAAGACGATGGTCGTTAAATAAAAGTTTCAAGCTGTGTTAGAGACTTCGTTGTACTGTCCGTTTCTTTTTTTTTTTTTTTTACGTCTCAGGGTTACTATGGATATCATTCACCAGCTCGCCTGTGTTTTTTTACCTTTCTTCACTTGCTGGCTTGCGCGAAGGCAGCAATCGTCCGCTGCGGGAGTCTTTCATAAACATTAAAATCACTTTATATCCAAATTTGAAGCTCTTTGATCGCAATACAAAAAGGAACCTAACACGCAGAAAACTGCTATGAATGCTTTTTTTTTTTTTTTTCCTTTTGAATTATCGGGAATTCGCAATAGAATGTAAATAGATATAGCTTCGCCAATACTGTAAACTCCTCCAAAAACCTATGAGAGCGGCGGGTCGTCATTTTCGGAGGCGCAGTTGGGGACGGCGGGCGTATCAGTGGGACGCGTGTTAAGGGCAACTCCGGTTGAAAACGAAAACAAAATAAATTACTGGTATCGCTTCAGTGGCTCAAAATATGATATTAGCCGAAATATTACGTCAAAGTGAAGCTGCGTTCTCTGTTAAAACCTATTTTAAAGATGCGACCAGCTGCTCTTTAGCGGGCGGAAAGCGGGTTAGCTTCTAGTCAAGGAACACTGGCGCAGTCCGTTCGTGACGTCACGTCGTGGTGGTGCTGCGCTGCGGTTGATTGGTTGTACCACGTACCGCAGCACCACGTTGGCGTCACGTCATGGCCGTAAGGCTGATGATCAGTGTTGAGATTGCTCTAGCAGATAGTTTCGGTTTTGCCGTAGACGTCCGAAACCAAACTTTGAGCCGCGATATTTATCAAATTACACACACTATCGAAAAAAGTAATAATTGTACCTTGTAATTTAGGGACACTGCTTTAGCTGAGAACGGTCGTAATCTCAGATTCAAAAATACTAACCGAAGTTTCCCCGACCACCCCTTTTTCTGTTTACGGCGTTTCGCAGTGACTATCTGCGAATGGCTCATTAAAAAAGTATTAACACCCCTAGCCTACCCGTACACGCCGCTTCGCGGCGTTCCGCCAGCCGTCCAAGCCCCGCTGCCTCCCATTGCACCTTCGGAAAGGGAGTCCCTAGTGGCGGCGAACGGTGACAGTGGCGCTCCTAGCGGACCTGCCCTTACAAAAAAAAAAAAAAATAAATAAATAAATAAAACGAGTTTCAATGTAGAGTGTAAAGGATTCATGCAATACACCGCAGTGAGTCTCAATTGAAACTCAATAGTTTTTTTGTTTTTTTTTTGAGTCCTATTGAACCTTCACAGGGTATTGCCCACTGCCTTTAATTAAATATTTAGCAATTGCATTTTAATTATTTTTGGTAATAATGTTTCAATTGAATTTCCGCAATTGAGTTCCAATAGACCTTTTGCAACTGTGTTCAATAGAATTTTTCAAAACTGTGTTAAAAAACCCTGCAACATATGGGGATTTTTTTAAAGCATGAAACATGGAGGAAACTGAGCACAATAGGGAAACGAACAAAAACATTATAAAGCACTCACAACACACCATTAACAGTCCCCTTGACTAGTCCACCGCCTTATATACCCGAAATATGGAATGTATTCATTTGGCCGGTGACCACCTCAGCTTTTATTAAGGTTCCCAGTATGCTATCACCTCCTCGGATGTCTGATAAATGATAAACAGTGTTTGGACGTCACAGGACCCAATCCCTTAATAAAGACAAAAAAAAAAACATTGATGTAAGGAATGATTGAACATGATTGTAAACCTGAGACTGGGGCAGAAAAGAGAACACAACAGGAGGTAAAAAAAGAGAAGGCAACGTCTCAAAAAGAGGAGGCAACGTCTCCATTGAGACGTTGCCTCCTCTTTTTCTACCTTCTGTTGTGTTCTCTTTTCTGCCCCAGTCTCAGGTTTACAATCATGTTCAACTTACACCAGCTCGCCTGCACTCTGACTATTTTTTCGTTAAGGAATGATTGTTCGGTGCAGTCGCTGAATCCACACTCGTTTGCATATCTAATGAGTAAATTCAAATAAATTAATACTGAGTTATAAATGAGCAAACTCAATTGAATTCGTAATGAGTAAATTCTAAAGAATATGCATTGAGTTCATAATGAGCAAACTCAATCGCATTCATGATGAGTACATTCAATAGAATCGATATTGAGTTTCTTATGATCAAACTCATTAGACGTTGAGTTTGTATTGAGTTTCAACTGACTCTATAGGAATTCATTAGAAACTCAATTGAAACTCAATGATAATTTTTGTAAGGGTGGATGGAGTCTTCACAAGCAGACACGCAATGGAAAAGTATAGGCTTCGCGACGTTTGCGGCGTTTGCGAGCTTCATTTTTGTATCCTAAGAGCCGACACAATTATTACGATCAAATTGTTTGCACAGCGGTATCCACTGATCAAAACCGCAACGACAAGCAGATGTCGTTGCGG